CCTTTTTAACACACAGGGTATCTTGTGACTGGCAGAAAACATTTCATTTTACATTTACATTTTAGTCATTTAGCAGACGCTCTTATCCAGAGCGACTTACAGGAGCAATTAAGGTTAAGTGCCTTGCTCAAGGGCACATTTACGTCATTTAGCAGACGCTCTAGTCCAGAGCGACTCACAAATTGATGCATTCACCCTATAGCCAGTGGGATAACCACTTTACAATTTTTTGGGGGGGGGGGGGGGTAGAAGGATTACTTTATCCTATCCCAGGTATTCCTTAAAGAGGTGGGGTTTCAAATGTCTCCGGAAGGTGGTGAGCGACTCCGCTGTGTGTGTGTGGGGGGGGGGGGGGGGGGGTAGAAGGATTACTTTATCCTATCCCAGGTATTCCTTAAAGAGGTGGGGTTTCAAATGTCTCCGGAAGGTGGTGAGCGACTCCGCTGTGTGTGTGTGGGGGGGGGGGGGGGAAGAAGGATTGCTTTATCCTATCCCAGGTATTCCTTAAAGAGGTGGGGTTTCAAATGTCTCCGGAAGGTGGTGAGTGACTCCGCTGTGTGGGGGGGGGGGGGGGGGGGGGTAGAAGGATTACTTTACATTTCCTACAGGCTGTAGCGTCCTCTACCATATCTTCACTAACATCACTTGTTTTCTCAATTATTTTAATCGCCTCCGCATAGAAGATTCGATTGGTCGCTCTAACTTTTGCCACTCCTGCACCCTTCCAGGGCACTCCAGGAACGGGATGATGATCCCCACCACAATTGCAACACCGTCGTCCTTCTACACAGCGTTCTTCAATAGACTATGTCCGTCTGCATACTCTTGAAAAATTGCCAAATCCTTTACAATTGTTACACTGCAGTGGTTTGGGGAGGAAAGCGCTCACATTGTTACACTGCAGTGGTTTGGGGAGGAAAGCGCTCACATTGTTACACTGCAGTGGTTTGGGGAGGAAAGCGCTCACATTGTTACACTGCAGTGGTTTGGGGAGGAAAGCGCTCACATTGTTACACTGCAGTGGTTTGGGGAGGAAAGCGCTCACATTGTTACACTGCAGTGGTTTGGGGAGGAAAGCGCTCACATTGTTACACTGCAGTGGTTTGGGGAGGAAAGCTCTCACAGCGTATCTTACATAACCAAGCTTCACATGCGCAGGTATTTGCTCTTTATCTCAAAACCACAGGACCGACAGACTTTCTTATTTTTCTCCATTCACCCAGCGGGTCAGACGCCGGGCACCAACATTCACCCAGCGGGTCAGACGCCAGGCACCAACCACACCTGGAATTCTCTTCAGGTACTCAACCTGAACATCCGTCGTCACCCCTGAGATGACTCCTTTGACGGGTGCTCTTCTCCGAAGTTCAAAACACAAAACTTCTGTTGTCCGGATTCTTTTGAGGCCTCACTGCAATTCTTCAGAAATACAATGAATCAAAATAAGACCACTCCTGGTCACTCTGACAGACTGCACTTTTCCCAGCACCTACTTCACCATTCGACACCTCAAACAGGTCTCCCACATACGCATCTTTACTCAACAAACGCTTCCCAACAAGAAGCGATTCATTATCATTCATACACGTATCCTCCACTCCGATTTTAGACAACTTCCTTTTTGTTCCAGTTTTAGATACTACTGTTGTCCATTCAGAACCTTCATCTTCACCAACTTTTCTCGACCCGCTGCTTGATTCGAACTCATCATCCACTTCTGCCATATTTCCCAATGTGGCAACATCAAAACAGGTTTGGAGCAAAATTATTTCCTTCCTCTCATTGGTCAGATGGATCATGATTTATAATAATCAGTGCTTTACAATATGCAATAATAGCCATTAGGAATTTACATGATATACTGAAAGCCTATGGAATTTACATGATATCCTGAAAGCCTATGGAATTTACACATCTCTTTTCTGATGGCAGGGATTCGTTTCAATGGATTAACCTGGGGTCTTTCTTACTTTATTCATATAAATATGACACTGCTTGATACTACCAGGGCTGTGCACAGACCTTTTGGGGGGAATGTGCAAAAAAAAAATATATATATATATTTTCCTGCAACTGCGGTCCCAGGCTCAGACTGGGCAGTTATTCCAAGAAGAGGGGAAAGCAGCACAATCTGACGAGGAGGGAAAGCAGCACAATCTGACGAGGAGGGAAAGCAGCACTATCTGACGAGGAGGGAAAGCAGCACAATCTGACGAGGAGGGAAGGAAATGACGAGGAGGGAAAGCAGCACAATCTGACGAGGAGGGAAAGCAGCACAATCTGACGAGGAGGGAAAGCAGCACAATCTGACGAGGAGGGAAAGCAGCACAATCTGACGAGGAGGGAAAGCAGCACAATCTGACGAGGGGAAAGCAGCACAATCTGACGAGGAAAGTATTTTTTCTAAACCATTTTGAACTCAAATAAATGCTGAATTTATTAACAATGACCAACACAATTCCATTCAAAATAGAAGATTGTTTCTTACAATTGTGGAAAGCCGTTTTAACATCCACACAGTGTATTAGCTACACCCATCTAGTACTGGGCCTACCCCCCACGTTGCCTCCAGAACAGCCTGGACGGGTGACCAGCCTGGACGGGTGACGCCAGGCAGGATGGGGCCATGGACTCACGCAGCTTAAGCAAAATCCTGACTCTCCCATCAGCATGATGCAACAGGAACCAGACTTAATCGGACCAGGCGATATTTTTCCACTCCTCAATTGTGTTCACTGGAGCCACTTCTTGTTTTTAGTTGATAGGAGTGTAACCCGGTGTGGTCGTCTGCTGCCCATCCATGACAAGGCAAGGACCGACGAGTGCCGTTCTGCGCCGTTAATTGCCTGTTTGTGACCTGCCTTCTAGCTGCCACTGACTGGATGTTTTTTGGTCTGCCTACGGCGGCCTTTCTCAATAGCAAGGCTATGCTCACTGAGTCTGTACATAGTCAAAGCAATTACATTTTAATCGATGGCAATTTGAAGAGATCCTGAGGCCCATTTTCTTAAGGTATCTGCATATCTGTATTCCCAGTCACGTAAAATCCATAGATTAGGGCCTAATGAATATATATCAATTGACAGTTGCATGTATATTTTTGTTCAGTATAGTGAGACATGAACTGGGTAGATAGTGGAGTCAAAGATTATCAATATACATTACTGATTTCCTCTTCGTTCAGTGCTGCCTGACTCTCCTCCCCCCCCCCCCCCACTCTAGGACCCCCCCCCCCCCCCCCCAACCACTACATATAAACTCAACAGATCGCACACAGGTGTATATAGATCATTTACAGTAGCCAACGATAAAATTGGTAAGAATCTACAAAGTGTTTATGATTTAACTTTTATTGATGGGAAAACTAAAAAAAGGCAACAGAGGCACCAGTTGATAAGTTCAACCGTTAGCTCTGCATAACGTCTCAGGGCTACAAGAAGACAGTGTTTTAGGTAGGTGACTTAACTATAAGCTCTCAACTTCTAAAACCATCAAAAAGATAAAAGCTTTAATTTAATATTTTTTTTTACCCCATTTGCCCTGCAATGTATCCACTTCATATGGATACCACCCCCCTATTACTTATATCTCCATTAACATGCATAAAATACATTACATTTCTTATATTTTCCTGACTGTGGATGTTGTTGACTCATACCGCAGCATTGTCTGTCTGTTCACACATCTGGTTATGACGTGGTAAATATTCTCTCAGGCCATGGGGGGGGGGGGGGGGGGGGGGGGGGGTCGATAACAATATTAAAAGCATTACACTGCTGCCAAACGAAATGGCACCCTATTCCCTATATAGTGCACTACTTTTGACCAGGATCCATAGGGATATTCCCGTAGTAGGGTTCTGGTCAAAAGTAGTGCACTATATATATATAGGGAATCGGGTGCCATTTCAGACAGCCAACATCACACACACCAGTGGGTGTATCCTGAAGAGACATGTCTGTCGGTCTGTCCGGTCCGATCAGGTGCCTTTAACGTCTTGTGGTTTAGTCTGATAACCAAGGAGGCCAGCGCAGGCAGGCCAGCCGGCACGGCTGTGTACTGTTGTTGCATGCTCAACACGGAGAGTTCAGAACCCATGAAAGACTTTACATTACATTTTTTTTTTGGTTTTTTCCCCCCACTTAAAATGAAAATGGTACACGCCGACTGTCCAAGCAGGAAACACTATCTTTTTAATAGCACATGAATGAAAGAGTGAAAATGGGAGCAAAATGGGTCTAATTCAATAACAAAAACGAGAAGAAAAAAAATTAAAACCAGCAATTGAAGTTTGACTCCAGCTACGACGACGTTCTCCTTCAGATGATCCGTGTCATCACATGGCGTATTTCTGCGTCCATTCTCTTGCTATTCTGCTGTATCTGTAGGAGAGAGAACACAATACATGATGCGGTCCAAATGGCACCCTGTTCCCTATATATTACCTACTTGACAGGTCGAAGGGTGCCATTGCTGTATAGGAACCAAACAGAATCATCAAGCAGGTTA